ATAAATTTAGTGATTATATTATAATTTTTAAAAAATTATTGATAAAATACCTTTTAAAAATAGTTCAATGATCATAATGTACTTTAACCTTTTATAATTATAATTTTTTAATTTAAATTAACTTGTTTACCTCCTCAAATCAATCAGCAGCCGATCATGTTCTTCTGTATCTTTTTATGGTAAAATGATTTTATAACTCCTTGTACTTTAGTAGATATTTTATTTTGATCCCTACACTGTACACTCTTTAAAATGTGGCTAGAAAGACTAGTAAAATGTTGATTTTTACAATGGATGAAAATGATAAATTTAATAAGATGGACTTAATTAAATGATTTCAATTTTTTTAAAGTGATACGACATAACGACGACATATTGAGTGACTCAATATTGCTTAAACTAACGTCATATCATATAATTAACAAACTTTTTACGAGTGTTGTAAAAATGATCATTTCGATCTTGTTTTTTGCAATGTACAAATGTCTTTCTTGCTTGTTTTTGGGACTAAAATGAAATATATGGTATAGGGCATGGACTGAGAGTATTTTTACCTTTCTTTTCCTCAGTGACTATTGGCTCAATGGGAGAGACGGGTCCAATTAGGCAACTTGTCAGCTCACGTAGACAATCCAATTATTTATTCACAGAACATCAACTGTTTCGTACAGACACGAACCTTCTGTATTTTTATAGGTCTAATTGTGCTCTCAGTCATTATACTTTTACATATTTAAAATTTTATATCTTAACTTTTGATTCAAGGAATTTAGTTCTTCCTCTTTTTGTTGTTGGTAAAATAGACTGCAGAATCACACCGTTAGCATATAATACATCACAAGACCGCAAAATATATCATAATTTTATTTCTAAGAACGTTTAAATGTTGATACTTTCTAGATAAAATGTCACAATTATGGAGTTATTTTGTAACATTATCTTACTTTCATATGTTTGATTTTTTTTTAATTTTATAAAGACACAATTGTATTATAGCAAATTTTGATATTTTACAATTTTATTTTATTATAAAATATTTTAAGGACCTCATTAAAAAAATAACACATGACCTCCACATATTTTTGGCACAGGGTTAATAGGTTTTAGGATTTGATATCTTAAATGGCTAAACTTTCTACTTAAATGAGATACATGCATATACAATAAATATAACTCATTGGATGAGATGGGTCAAATTAGGCAACTTGCTAGCTCACGAGAATTCATTGTATTCTGTCGTGTTTTCTATAAGCTAATTAATTGAATTATGTAGGTAGAGACTAGGGTTGTGAAACCTTGTCGATGATGGTCGGGACCGGTTCGACGAGAATGTCCTAGTGCGAGGCGCCGTGGTTGTCGAGCTCTGTCTCGAGAGAATTTCGGTAGACCGATAATCAATATAAAGAAGATTTGTAATGACAGCATAACAAAGCAAATGAGATTAGGCAAGGCCAAAGAGCACAATACGAATGTTAAGCTCCAAATTACCCTAATGATCTTTTCCGAAATTATATTTCCATATTTGGTTCACGAAAAACATCATTATCAGGTAATAATTTATTACCAATAGTAGCATTTTTGAGTTAAAATGGTGAGAATATCATTACATCTAAATTCTTAGATAATGAACATTTCTTACCATTTTGGACATAATTACCCTTGAAATAATAATTTTTTTCCTTATCAATTCTTATTCTTCGTGTTTTACTCAAAATTATAAACTTAATAATAATAATAATATACAAATAGTTTAATTTAATAAAATATTATTAATAAATTTGAGTAATTAAAATTATTTTATATTTTTAACATTTAGTATATTAATTATTTTATAATTTTATGGGTGAAAATATTATTATTGTAAAATTGTAATTATTTATAATAATATTTAATTTTGAGTTATTAAAGAATAGATCTTATACATTAAAAATTAATATATTTGTCCACTTGAGATCACAATATTATTTTTATATTATATTATATTATATATAAATAGATATGATAATTATGAAAATTATTTAAAATTATAAGTTTGATATACTAATTATATTAATTATATGTTAAATATATTTTTTCTTTAAACTTAGATAGTGTAATAATTAAAATATTTTTATAAATTTTCATTCAAATATTTATAATTTAATATTAAAATTTTACTGGTTAAAAAATATATATAGAACAAGGATAATTTAGTAAAATATACATCAAAATAATCTTATATTCCTCCAATTAAACATTATAATCTTACACTCCTATTAAGCAAACCAAACAAAGTAATACAACATTCCCAGAGTAATGTTACATTTCGATAATCTTATTCCCAAAAGTAATCTTACATTCCGTGAATCAAATGTACCAAATCTATTCGCACAATGAGCATCTTATCGTATGGCATGACATCACCTATATATCAATGGTGTAGAACACTTTTGTCATCCCCTTCTTGGTTCCAATTCGAGGGACCTGGAAAAGATAATCAGATCATATGAATGGAAGCTTTAAATACAAGTATCCAACGGATATTTGGACTCGGGTATGAGCATATAATTCTTCAGATATATACCTGTATCTGGCACTCATTATAATTCGATTTATATTGTCAGCACGCATGGTCAGGCATGAGAGTAAGATGATACATATGAGTGCCATTAAATGATTTCAAATTATCATTTTTTTCAAGTGATAATTGATGATATACCTTCATACTTATGATCTCTGAAATATCGGAAACGTGGGATCCGCCACAAGGGCAACCAGGGTTGTCTTCTAACTTAATGATACAAGGATTGCTGCCCTGGACGAGACTCAAAAACAAGGCCATCATTAGCAACAACAAAGAATCGGATTCTGAATTCTATCAGGATTTCAGTCATTGCGTAGTGTTCCCGACTCTACCGAAGTACCGATCCCCTGAGCTTTATAACTGCTATTTACAGGCGACAACGGCATAAAACATCCTTACCAGGGAACTGTAATCCGGAAGAGAACCGCCACAAAGCTCAGCAGATTCTTCATATGGTAATACCGCTGCATAGACCTGAAAGAAACCAGGATGAGGTTCACAAACAAATGCTCTGCAACATAACGAAAAGTCACGTGACAGATCTAAATGATACTTACTTTACCTCCTTTAGATGTCAAGTCACTAACTTCTATCTCTATTTCCCTTTGCTTGTTTTGAATTCATTCGGTGGAATCGTGCCCTTATATTCCACAAATGGCCTGAAAAAGAAAACGAACTTCAAGAATGCTACTTTTATACACCCGTCTTTGCATATAAGAATAAAGGTTGATGTAATATGAACATCGGAATCGAAGATTCAACAGAAAGATCCTCGTAACAGTTCAACCGTTAATTATACGACTAACTAAAGGTGTCCAACTATATTACTTTGACACTTCAATTTCCGGAAACATCTTAGGACATGGATATGAGAATATAATTCTCCAAGCACCCTCCAAATGCATAGAAAAACTTTGAAGTAAATAAATATACACATGTTAGATATATACCCATATCTGACTCTCACACTCGAATCTAAATAGCATGTAAGTCCAACAACACAGAGAAATAGGAAATTAATCCCAAACAATCATGATAAGCTCCTCCTTTTCAGTACTATATCAAACAACATAGAGGGTCTATCTTTATGCAGATTACATGCAAGTTTGAAGCTTTTTTCCTGTGGCAATTAGTCCACAAGTACTGGTTGATCGAAAGCTTACCCGTCCGGAAAATGGTAGCCTTTACCCGGCTCCAAAAGCCCCAAACCAACATTCCTCGTGCAAACATCAAGCAAATGCCCAGCTGAGTGCAGCCTGCTCAACAACAGTCAGCAGTAGTTGAAGATAAATAGTAAATATAGCCAAGAAAATGATCGAAAACAATTGAAGGAGCTTAAACAGTAAGACAACAAGAAACAAACAGAGGAAATGATCTTAAACCAGCAAATCACAATAAATTCATAATAATTATAGAAACTTTTTTATACTGAAAATGCAATGTAAATAGATGAAGAGAATTCCCCTCCAAACCAACTACCTAGAATTCAGCATCCTCCTTGATTCATCCACTTGCAAAATCACTTCTTTCCCTTGCCCTTGCTCTAATTCATTTTCCATGGTGGAATCCTCAGGGACTCCATAATGAAACACCTTTGAACCAAAGGAAAAAAACCCAGAATTATTCTTCAAAAACAAAGGGTTGTAAACTTTATACAAGTGAACTTACAATCTGAAAACAGATTATCAATAGAAAATACAAATAAAATATCTAAATTATACGAGAATTTGATCCAACATCACTACTTACAACTCCATCTTTTGATCGAACATCTTGCACGCAGAATCTGAGGTTGGGATTTGTGACACTAACGAAACCAGTATCAGAAGGTTGACCACTACCTTGTGGATGGAAGATCGTGTTATCCAAAACCAAAGCTTTCCTTCCATCTTCACCCTGAAAAGTGAAACCCCATATAAGAAAATTAGGGAAAATCATGAATTTTATTGATCAATGAATATGAACAAAAAGAAACCCAGAGAGGAAATGGAATAAAGGAGTGACCTCGAAGTAGTGAACAAGTGTGGCTTTGGATTGAAGTTTGAACATTTGATCATAGTATTCAAGCATTGTTGGGGTCGTTACTTCCATGGCGGAACCCTTCACCGTGTTTCCCGCTGCGTCAAGGTCGTTTAATGTCTTGGACCCCCGCAGTCAAGGGCTACTAACATTTTGATATTTGATCGATGGTATTGACTGAGTTTGTATAAATGGATAAACTTGGTAAATAGTCCCTCTACGAATTATAACATTATAAATTAATGTGGTCAAACTGCATTTTAACTCCAAGAATAATGCAATAACCGTACACATGGAATCATCAAACCTTTAAAAACATAAAAAGCACAGACATCATATTATCAAGCAATGCTTTACAACAAATCACAGACCTTATTTTAGAAATTTGAATGAATGTTTTTTCCCTTCTTCCTTTAGTTTACGATAACTTGATCCAAATTCCTTTACTGGGAATGTCTTGATGAACCACAAACAGAAGATAAAACCCTGACGGCGCCAGATTTCCCGAAATCGGCATGGTGGCCTCAACGTTAAACGTTGAGTTCCCCAAAGCTGTGGCTTTTTCGTTCCCAAGAACAAGCAACCTTTGATTCATCGAAAACGAATGTGTGTTGAAAGCTGGTGCAAACATTGTTACCGATATTGACTTTCCATCCACATTTCCACCTGCAAGAATCATCAATTGGATCGTATATTTCTTCCCGTATCTCATCCCCGACATCGACTTCGGAGCGACGATCGTCGGTCGCAGGTTGTCGAATTTAGTGTCTAAGTAAGCCGGTGAGAATGCTTCTAAGCTTAGTTCTGTAGGGAAAAGTACGCCGGTGAAGTTGTAAAACGCGTGAGGATTGCTTCCGCCGACTAAAACCCTCCCGTCACGTAATAAAGCCGCCGTGGAATGATACATACGGGGGATGGTTGTCGGGTTTTGTGTCTCGAACCGTGACCCGATAGCGTTATCGGGTCGGTACAAAACGGGACTCAAAACTGGGTTTCGACCTTGTTCCCATCCTGCTGAACCGGAACCTGCGCCATTGATGAGCAAGACATTGCCGTTTGGAAGCAGTATCATATCACCCATGACTCTAGCTAAGGGCATCGTCTCCATGACCCATTGTGGATTCGGGTCGGTTATAGTGATCCGTGCGCATGTATCCAATGCTTTCATGAAAACACCTTTTAAAGATTGGAGGTAAGCTCCTTTACGAGCACCGCCACAAACTAGAACTTCAGCTTGAATGGCCGGAGCTTTCAAGTTCTTCAACGGAAGCAAAACGGCGGACCCTGTGCTCGGATAGCTTTGAGGCTCACCGCCAGGGATTGTGGGATAGTTTCTGACGACTTTATTGTTGACATAATCGAACAAGATGGCTCGATTGTTTGCGAAAATGAATAAGTTTCCTTCAACGTTGAGGAAAACGAAAGGGTAGAGATTGTTCTCCACTCATTTGTCGTTGGTTTCCGACAAGAAAGGTAAATTGATCTTATTAGCGACGATGTTTTTAGGGACGAACTCATAGTTAAACTGTCCTCGACCACCGATAATGATTTGTCTTCCGTCGGGAAATAAATGGTTAGAAGCATACCATCTTTTCACCGCCAATCCATTTGGTATTTCATTCCAATCGCATGTCCGGCAGGGGTTGAACACCCTGACCCTACGGTCACCGTCATTGAAACCACCTGTTTGGACCAAGTTACCGTCGCGCATGATGCTGCCTGAAGAGCACCAAACATCGGTTTGGACCATGAGAGCCCTGAATTTATTGGCGAAAACATCGTACTCGGCTGAATGAGCTGTGCAATCCACTTTGAGCGCCGTGTCAGTTGAATCATTGCGGCATTTCCCTCCGGGAAGTGGCAAATTTGACGGCCCGAAATCGGTTCTATCGAACATAATCACACGGTCGTTATTAAGGAGCTGCATGTGCATGGCTGAGATGCCGATGCTTTTTTGTAGGAGTTGCCAACTGCCATCTGAGGCGTAGGTCAGGGAGGCAAAGAGGAACTGAAGAAGAAGAAGAATTGAGAAAATGAATGTCGGGGCTGACATTTTTGTTTTGATTGGGTTTTTTGTGCTGATTATCGAAACCATTCAATTTGATCCTATTTATAAATACTACGTGAAGGGGAGTAAGATCCTGCTTGAAAGTCTTGTTCTTGTTAATGAAAATGATAGTTTATTTGTTTTAAAATTAGATTATTATGAACTAGGGTAGCTAGTTAGTTGGTTACAACGATTTTGGAATATTATGAATGTTCTAAGGTTTGAAATTTTGGCTTATTCTTCTAAAATTAAAAAGAATATATTATCGATGGTTCAAATAAATGAATTCTTAGTGTTTTTAAGATATAATAATATTTTTTTTATAGAAAGCCGTTAGTTTTATTAAAAATAGAAAATATCTAGAATTACAATGAAGATTTACAAGCATAACCATAAACGTAAACTAAATTACAATTAGGACATTTTCCTATAACCATTAACACAAAAACTAGCCATCTAGATCACACAATGACCATAAAAGGAAAAAGTTAAAAAAACCTAACCAATGCTCAAATAAAATAAAGATACGAACAAATCTGACTGTATCGACAAACTAACCATAAAAGGGGATCTAACTACTGAAAAACAATCGATAAATCGCAAATCAAAGTCAAGCGACGTGAGAAAACTATCCACGAGCGCAAAACGTTTATCCAAATCAATCCTAAGGTCCAAAGCAAGGAAGATCAACAGGATAATAAATAAGCACCATCATGATCAGTCGTGGCAACGTCAAATCTAACCTTGTGAAAAAAGATAAACAAAAAAGGGAAAAACCGTAAGCTACCAAAAGGCAGAGAAAAACGTGTCACAAAGACAGAGATAAACGTTTCATAAAGGCAGAGAACATGTCACAAAGACATAATTATTCTTATTAAAAACTAAAAAAATAAAGAAAAAAATATAACCGAAGGGCGACAACAAACATCAAAATTGGTGTCGCCGCTGGTTAAACAAAATTGAAGAAGAAAATGTTTGATTGATCAATGAAATTAGCATAAGTTGTAAAGAAGAAAAAGAAAAGAGAGAGAGAGGAGGAGGATTAGCCGAGATTTTTAAGGTATAATAATAAAATTAATCTTTAACGATTGTATAAATGATTATTTTGGAGTAAAAAGGTATCATATCTCTTTGTACTTTTGAAAAAGATCAATGTGACATTTATATTATTTTTTATCTCAATGTGACTTTTCAACTCAAAAAAATAAATATAATGTGACCCTTTAATCAACGTTTTTCATCATTGATTGTTATGGTGCTGACGTGGCAGTTCACGATGTTGACGTGGAGATCCACGGTGGTTGATAGTATGGCGGATAACATGACAGATGAGTTAAATTAGTAACTCAAACATGATAGATAGACTACGAGGTCAATACCGTAGACTACCATATCAGTATCGTGAACTACCACGTCATCACCGTAAAGGTCAAAGGATAAAAAATGTTGGTCAAAGGGGCACATTGGGTTTATTTTCTGAGTTGAAGGGTCACATTGAGAGAAAAATAATATGAGAGCCAAATTGGTTTTTTTTTCTTTCAAAAGTACAAGGAACTCTCATATCTTTATGCTTTATTTTAGCTTTTAATTTTTTTAGCATTTTAGGTTTAATATTTTAACTTTTGTTCATAATAACCTTTTTAGATAGAAACCGTTAATTGACTAACATTTAACACATGTTACTATGTGATATTTTCACATATGTTTAATTGATGATGCAACATGTGTCATTTCATCCAAATTGATAATGTGACATGTGTTATGCTATCAATTAAACAACATGAAAAAATTATGTAAACAATATGCATTAATCGTTAGTCAACTAACATTTTCTAATCAACAGAAGTTATTTTAACCAAATATTAAAACATTGGGGGGGCTAAAATGCTCTAAAAAAGCATATGGAGTTGTCGCGGCCGTCTTTCGGTTGGGCCCGGAATTGGGCTTCGACGTGAACTAAATGCTTTAAAGTCGTCACCGACCATTTTAAAAAGAATTTAGGTGGGTCGGGCACCATCTTACCTGATCCGCGTTGTACCAAAAACGTGTCGGGTTCGGGAGTCGGTTACGGTCAAGGAAGGATTAGCACCCTTGAACCGCCCTTTTGGTACCAATTAATTTGGCGGTTGTCTTTAATTGCGAAAAATTAAAATTAAAATTTTAAAACTGATTCAAATTACTTACCTTTGATTGGTTGGAATTCTCTTAAAAAAGTAAAAAAAATGTTAGATAAAAAAATAATAAAAATAAATATTAAATAAATCAAAGAGGAAAAAAAGAAAATAATAAATCAAAAGGAAAAAAGTAAATAAAGGAAAAAAAGTTAAAAAATAAAATTAAAGAGAAAAAAAGAAAAAAAAACAGAAAATACTATTTAATAAAAAAATAAAAAAATAAAAAAAGTTAAATATTAATGAATATGAAAAAAGTTAAGAAAAAAATAAATATTAACAAAGAAATCAAAAAATAAGTAAAAGGATCAAAACGAAAAATTTTAACAAACAGTGGTCGAATCAAAAAAAAGGAAAAAACAAGAATAGTGGCTAAATTGGAACCTGCAAAAAATACCTGGGCCATTTCAAATAAAACATGAATTAGGGACCATAATGCAAAAATAATAAATTCAAAGTCCAAATTGAAATACTGAAAACTGAATTTAGCGACCAAAATGTGAAGAACAAAAATTATAGGGAGCCCTCCCTCCCTAAAACTACATCGTTTTTTGAGGGTATAAATACCCCCATTAGGCCCAAATCCTCTTATTCTTCCTCATTTCTTCATTCCCATCTTCTCTCTAAAAATGAGAGAAAACAATCTCTCCTCTCGCCTCTCTCTAAAACACTCCACCGGAGGGAGCCCTGCTACCGTCAAACGTCGCCGACCACCACTCGCGTCGACCGAAAAAAATAAACCCACCTAAACACTTGTATTGTCACCCTAAACCCTGATCTGAAGTCAAAATCCCACAAAATAGCACGAATCGGTGTAGATCTATGAAAAATCGATCGATTTTCTTTACCTTTTTTGTCGATCTTTCTACTTCTGATGACCCTTGTTCTTTGCTTTGTGTTTTTGATGTTTTGGTTCGTTGTTTTTGGTTAATGCTTGTTTGGTTTATGGTTTGATCGTTCGTCGATCGTTGTTTCACCGTTGTATTTCGATATTGGTTTTCTGATATAGGTTGTTGTATGGTTTGTTTGGTCTTCGCCTATGGGTTTATTGTGTTGTTGGATCTCCTTTGGCAATGTTGATGCCGTTTCGTTTCTATGCTGGGTTCGCCGTAGGTGTTGTCTGTGTATTGTTTTATGTTGGTTCTCTCAATGATGATCGGTTTTCTCTGTTTCGATCTCGGTTTACTGTTTTAATGTTGGTTTCGATCTTGCTCTCGGTTTCCTTTGTTTTATGTTCTGTTTTCGTGCTGTTGATATATGTGTGTTGTGGGTACTGTCTCGACTGGTGATATTGTTGTTCCCCCTTTGCATTGTTGTGGTGGGGTATTTATACCCACCACCGGCAGTTTGTTAGTTCCGAAATACGGGGGGTTATGATCGTTGTGAGGCCGGTTATCCCAGGATGGGTCAATCTCGAGAATCGGTCGGTCGTTTCAGTGTTGACACTGTTGGTCGTTTGGGCACGTGACTTCACGAGCGCCCCTTGATTATCTCCTATACGGCGTTGACTGAGAACTGGGAAACCCTAATCCCTTACTGGGCTGGTTCAGGCCCGTTTTGTGGACTGGATTTGGACTATTGGACAAAAACAAATAAAAAATAAGAAATAAATAAAATAATAATAAGAATAATAATAATATAAAAATATTTAAAAAAACAACATATAATATATAAATTTCCAAAATCTTTTTAAAAACTATATATTATACGTATTTTTAAAAATGTTTTAAAAAACTATATAATATATATATTTTCAAAAATGTTTTAAAAAACTATATATTATATATATTTTCAAAATGTTTTTAAAAACTATATAATATATAAATGTTTTCAAAGTGTTTTCAAAACTATATATTATATAAATTTTTAAAAATGTTTCAAAACTATATATTATATAAGTTTTCAAAATGATTTTAAAAACTATATATTATATATTTTCTAAAATGTTTAAAAAAAACTATATATTATATACATTTTCAAAAACCGTTTGCAAACTATATAATATATATGTATAAAAATAAAATAAAAATATAGACGAAAATGAGTTACTACAGGAGCAAAGAGATCATAAATGATTATTTGTATAAATGTTAGAGACTAATTTTATCGTTATGTATTTTATAGACAGCTAAATATTTTGTTAAGGTGCTAGCCCAACGAACCAAAGACCATGATGGATGTGTTGGCTTTGGCTCGTTTTCATGAGGTCAAAATTGAGGATGCAAAAAAATTATCGGACTGTGAAGAGCGCTCGTGTTGGCTGGGTGGGGATTTGTAGTTCCAAAATAGAGGGTGGGTTAGGGTTGAAGGATACTCGGAGTTGGAATCAAGCTTGTTTGATTCATTTGATTAGACGACTTCTCCTTAATGGCGGCTCGATAGGGATAGCTTGGATTGGTTTATTTGTGCTGAAGGGTAGTTCCTTTTGGCATGTGAAAAGTTTGGCTAATTATGGTTGGGTTTGGAGGTCCTTGCTGAACTTGAGGGACAATAATGTTGCTATTGGGGATGCCCTGGTTGGCCCTTTAACATCGATTGCAGACATTTGGGAGGCTATTCGTGAGCAAGGGGCGAGGGTGCCTTGGATTGATTTAGCACTCTGACCATATCCCCAAGAATTTTGTTATTGCTTAGATGGCAGTCCTTGATAGACTTCCTACCAAGAGTCGCCTGTTGTCGTTTGACATAAACATTGATGGTATGTGTGTCTTGTGTTTAAATGAGATTGAGTCCATGGACCATTTGTTTTATTGTGGTTATTCTACGGGGGTTTGGGGGAACATCCTATTGGCTTGTAATGTGAAGAGCAAGTTATGGTTTGGAGGTATGAGCTCGGTTG